CACAGCTTGGTTCCCGGCAGGAACACAGCTGGAGGGAGCTTGCACCCTGCATCACAGCTGGAGGGATGGATTGCTCCTTGCATCTCTCATCCCTCTATTCAGGTAAGACCGCATTGTGGACTCTAGAGCTGATGTTGGGTTTTAGGGAATATTAAGATGGGATGGTCATAGTTTGCAGATGAGAAAAACCTGAATCGTGGGTCTTGAACTGTCATTTCCCTAGTCAAGTGTCAGCTAAATGTCTAACATGATATTATTAAAGGGTAGGGCCTCCAAAGAGGTGGTTAGGCCATCAGAGGTCCTTCCTTATGAATGAAGCCCAAGAAATCAGAGGTGGGGGAAAGAAATCCCATTTGCAATATTTTTAAAACAAACTCCTTGGAATAAATCTAGTCAAAGAAGTTAAAGACCCCTTTAGTGAATATTTCAAAACACTGCAGAAACAAATCGAAGAAGACAGCAGAAGATTGACAGGTTTGTACTAGACAGAATCAATGATGTGAAACTGGTTGCATTACTAAACGCAGACTCTAGATTCAATGCAGCCCTCCAACTCCAATGGTATTCTCCACAGGAATATAAAAAAACTAATCCTAAAATTCATATAGAAGCACAAAAGGCCCTCAGTGGGCAAAGCAACTCTGAGCAAAAAGAACAGTGCTGCAGTTATCCCCACACCTGATTTCAAGTCATACTGCAGAGCCATAATAACAAAAACAGCATGGTCCTGGCCTGAAAGGAGACACAGATCAACAGATAGAATAGAAAATCCCAATGTAAATCCACACATCTGAAGCTGTGTGATTTTTGGCAAAGATGTCAAAACTGTACACTGGAGAAAAGACACCATTTGGTACAGGGGAAACTGTCCCACCTGAAGAGAACCACACTGGATCCCTGTTTCATCCTGTACAAAAATCAGCTCCAAATAGATCAAAGACTTCTGCAATAGAAGACCTGGAACTCTAAAACTGCTAGAAGAAAACATGGCAAAATACTTCTAGACATGGGCACAGACAAGGACTCTCCTCCAGTAGTTTGGGGGGGGGGGACAGTAGTTGAGAAATGAGATCACATGAAATTAAAAGGCTTCTATGTAGCAAAGCAAATGAGTAGCTGAGCGGAAGCTACAAGGTAGGAGGTCTTTCTGGCTACATATCTGACAGAGTTACTATCTAGAGTAGATAAAGAACTCTAAAAATAAGAGCTACAGAGATATTCCAGAGGTTAAGAGCACTTACTACTCTTGCAGAGGACATAGTTTGGTTTCCAGCACCAGCTCCATCTCCAGGGGGATGTGATGCCCTCTTCTGGTCTCTGAGGGTACTGCACACATATGGTGCACATGCACTCACATGGGCACATGAATTTTAAAAAAAAAGAAATCTTTAAACAGAAAGAACTCAAAAAGGTAAATACCTACAAAATTCCAATTGATAAATAACTAATGAAATAAACATATTCTGGAAAGATGAAAATGTGAGTGGATGGCCTGCGAATATATGAAAATGTGCCCCCACATCCTCCTCTGTCTGTCAAATGCAGATTAAAACAACATTGAGATTCCATCTCACTCAATCAGAGCAGCCATCACCAAGAAAACAAAGACATGCTGGTGAGGATGGAGGGAAAGAATCTTACACACTACTGGTGAAGGTATAAATTAGTCTATCCACTATGGAAATCAGTATGGAGACTCCTCAGAAAACCGAAAATAGAGTTAACACAAGATCCAGCTATACCGATCCTGGGAATATATCCAAAGGCCTCTAAAGCTGTAACACACCCTACAGGTACTTCCACACCTGTTTATTGTGACACTATTCCTAACAGCCAAGTCATGGAGTTAGCCTGGGTGTCTGCCAACAGATAAGTGTGTATAGAAATCTGGTTTATATACACAACTGAGTTTTGTTGTTTGTAGGAAAACAGAGATAATCATATAGAGGAAAATAAGTTAGAGAGATAAATGTTGCATGTTTTCTCTTATTTGTGGAGCTTAGATTTTATATGGACACATAAAACCACACACACACACGCAATATATATACTTAAAATACCTGAAACAGTGTAATATTATGTCTATAGTTGTTGGACTATGTTGCTTAGGGAATGATGTAAAGAAAAAAACTTGCACAAGTTCAATGTTTAGAAGTACTTTGGTCTTACAGGATGCGATGGTGCGATGGCCCATATCTTTCATTTCAGCATACAGGGGGCAGAGTCAGACAGATCTCTGTTAAGTTTGAGGCCAGCCTCATCTACATAACAAGTATAAAGCCAGCCAGGGCTATATAGTGAGAGTCTGTCTTAAAATGATGCTACTGTTGACCACGGTTGTTGGTTGGACCCACAGGTGTGCATCCCGCAGATCCAGAGGCTGGCTGTGTCCACCTTCCTTCCCACCACACCCTCATACTCTCCCCTCCTCATCCCCTGCATTTTTCCCCATTGCCTGCACCACAACATACTGTATTTATTTCTGTTTTCTATTTGTAGCCGCTAGAATGTCCATTCCCCACCCCCTCCTGGGGCAGTGAGTTCTCCTTTCTCCATGGCTCTGTGCAGTGTCTCGGACTTCAGAGGACCACACACAGACTTGTTGAGCAGTGAGTGGATAGAGGATAATGCACCCACCAAGGGTTGCCCTGGAAAGATGCTGTTTGGGCAAATGGTGAGAAGCAGACCTTTGGAGCTCAGGGAGAGGGTCCCCAGACTCAGGCACCACACCTGCAAAGGCTCTGAGGCCGCACCAAGGCACAGAGGCCGAGGCAAAGAGCAGGGGGGAGACAGGTGTAGCGGAAAGAGTGCGGTGGAGAGCATCGTGAGGGACGAGGCGTGGAGGGGCTATCCCAAACGTCCTGGGAAGTCTTGGAGGACTTTCTGTAGAACAGCCAGCTCTCTCAGCAAGTGCTTTGAAAGCAAGCTCTGCCCCGGCTACCCGGAAGACAGTGCGGTGCAGGAGATCAGAGCTGAAGGAGGAACTGGGAAGGGAGGCTGTGGAGACATTGTGGTCCGGCAGTTGGGTAGGCTGGGAGCAGACAGAGGCGGGCAAAGACCCCTACTTGGGGTTCTTCCCTGGTGCCAGCTGACCCAGCTCTTCCACCAAGGCAACCTGGAAGTGCCGAGAAGTCTCTGGAACCTCTGGAAAATGGAGGGACTCTCTAGGGAGAGTTTCTCGGGACAGGGGGCATGTTTAACTGTGAGAGCCTTCTCCACCAGAGAGCCACTGTCTTCCGCCACACAGATAGCAGCCATCTGTGCCATGGGGCAGTGCCACAGGGAAGGCTAGCAAGCCATAACAGAAAATACCAGAAAAATACAGACATTCCGGCCCCTCCCTGTCTCTTAGCCTTTTCTCATCCCAGGAGGGTGCAGAAGGGGCGGAGCCGGGAGGGGTGGGGGTACAAAGTGGGAGGAGCCCAGGTGGTAGAGGGTGCAGAGGGGGAGGAGCCCAGCTCAGGCTAATGGCAGAGATGGCTTACTGAGCCCAGGAGAGGCAGAGGCCAGGAGAGGTGTGAGCCGAGAGGTGTGAGCCGAGAGGTGTGAGCCGCCTGTGCCCCACTCCGCAGAGAGGAGACCCTCTGTGGCTGCAGGAAGTGGAGATACTGCACACTCAGGAAATAGCCATCACCAGGCCAGGCCGCAACCAGAGCAGGCTAGCACGGCTGCCTCCTTTAAGGCTGCAGAGAACTCTAAAAGCAGGCTCGTGGGAAGCAGGAAGATTCCCTCCAGAACAGTCATTTCCGCCCCCCCCAGCCACCCACTTCCTGTCCAGAGACCAAGCGTACCCACAAGGGTAAGGTGGTGATTAAAGTCACTCAAAGAAGCCGTCTTCATACTTCTGTCCCAAGACCGCAAAAATGCCCCACTTTCCGTTTACATAACCGAGGGAGACCTTCACTGAAGAGCAAAGGCGATGTGCCCAGAGGAGCCTGGCGCGCCACAAAACAGCCTGCAACTTCAGAAGAGAACAAACACCACTCGGCCCCACAGGGTACCTCTCTGGCGAGGCACCTGTGCCAAGGCGGGCAGGTGTTCCAGCATGTGACCAAGCTGGGGAAGGGAGCCGGCTTTTGAATGCCTGGGTTGGGAAGCCGCAGAGGCTGGAGAAGGGGGCGGGGGCGAGCTAGGCCAGCCTGAGGTTTGGTGTCACCCTGGGAGGATTCTGGTCAGGAATCCGAAAGACAGATTGCGTGTCCTCAATTTGACCACAACTCTCCATTGTTCCAGGAAAGAACACTCCAGATCCGGTGTGATTGTTTGGGAAAATCTTTGTATCCACTTAGCAGGCTGGTGAGGAGTGTGCAGAGAAGAGAGGCAGGACACTGGAAGCTGGACCAGGATGTGGGACAAGAGATGGTCCCAGGAAGCATCCCAATTAAGGGTCCTTTGTGGGCAGCCAGTGCCTTTAAGCGTCCCTAGCCTCTCAAGTGTCGGGGACTGTGTGGTGGTGGAGGTCATCCTGGGGTGCGTAAAGGCATTACTCCCCCGTGCCGTGGTTGTGCGGAGAGGGAGGAGCCAAGCTGGGGAAGGGCGCAGGTGGGGAGGACCACAGCTGAGGAAGGACTTCGGCCAGCTGACATTTCACACACTACTGATGTTGAAGACCCAGGCTCACTGGAGACACAGCTGGATGGAAGTGACCTGGAGCTTCTGGGGGAAGACCTTAGGCAAGTCATGGCTCCACTGTAGATGGGACTGTGGCAGGATCTAGCTGGAAGAATCTCCTAGTCACTGGCAAAGAAATCCATACTCGACCCTCACAGCCCACGACAACATAAAGGTATCAAGGAGGGTCGAAAAAGAGAGTTTGGGATGCACTAATTTGAAGATGGTCATTGTCATGAGTGATCCCTCTCTAAAGAGATGGCAGGTGGAGGCTACCACCCCCTCCATCTCTGGAGACCTGTGACGTGGACAATGAGGGTCTGACTCGCAAATGGGAGCCTGCTCAGCCAGGTGGACCCTGGGAATGCAGATTCTGGAGAAGGGGCTGCCTGGAGAACTGCCTCCTTCTAGAGTTCTTCAGGTTTAAGGACACAGGAGCCTCTTACACGGGGGCCCTTCTCTCCTTAAAGGGACAGGGAGACTTAGAGAGGAGTCAGTGTGCAATGAGCTTGCACATGGAAACCAAGAGCTGAGGACACTTGAGGACAGAATGTGTGATACAGAGCCAAGCTTGGGAGGCTGAGGGAGCTGTGGATGGTCCTGGCTGGTCATGGTCCTGGAATGTCAGGCAAAATAATTTCCCTTTCATCTCACAGGGCATGGGGAGCGGTTTTCACAAGTACATGAAGGCCTGAAGGGAGCAGCAGAGGGGTCCCTGGGAGGATGGGTCAGAGGTGAGTAGCAGGACTGTGGTGGCACCTGGTTGGACAGTGTAGATCTATGACTGTGAGCTAGGGTTCTTTAACAGCAGGGAATAGATCTTGGGACCCCCCCCCCAGCCTACGAGGGACAAGGACACTCAGAGGGGGAGTCTGCCCATGAACCATGCAGGAGATCAGGACATAAATTTGCTCTAGGTCTCCCATGGTGGGAGCACCGGTTTCCTTCTCTTCTCAGTGGTGGCAATGACCTTTGCTGGGGGGACTGGCAGAGAGAAAACGTATCCTTTGAGTCATCGAATCCGCAGTCAGAAAAGTCCAATGAGAAACTTCGGGAACCACTGAAGTGCACGTGTGAAATTGGCAGCTTCCATCACCCGAGGCCAGGAGCAGGAGGCCAGCCCACCCTGGCAGGCAAGGACAGGCTGGGGAAGTGGGGGAGGATGCTAAGGAGAGAAGCTGAAGAGAGGCAGCTGAGCCACAATGGGACTGACAGCCTCATTTGGAGGAGAGCGCACTATGTTTAACTGGACATAGCAGGTAATGAATGGAGTCTGTGTAAGGCCCGAGTGTAGTTTAAAAGATCCCCGGGGCCAGGCCAGGTCCAACCTCATACATTTTTAATTCTAGTGCAAGGGCTGGTACTCGTCAGTTGTGTGTCTTTTTCTCAGGAATCTGTTTCTATTCACCCCAGAGAGAGACGGCATTGACAGACTGAAGACATTCCCACCCAAGTCTAGCTTGATGAAGCATTGAGTTTTGGGGGGCTACTTACAGAATGATGGATGGTTGGGAGCTTACTCACAGGAGAACGGGCAGCTGACAGGCAGCCTCCTTCTCTCAGACACTCCGACTATTTTTATATCCTCTGATGAGGCCAGGAACCTTCCCCTCCTCTACAAAAGACTGTTAGAGGACCCAATCTCATGGTGGACTCATGTGGGCAATCACAGATGCTCAAATCTCAAGGCAGCCTCGGTCATGGCACTCCCAGAGGACACAGTTCTACATCAACCACCTGGTTGTGGGTGGTCCTCCTAATTTTCATCCAACTATAGGTTGAAAATATTAAATGGAAACTTCTAGAAACAAACAGTCCCAAAGTTTTAGATAACTTTTTGCACTCTATCATAACATTTCTGTTCTATTTTAGTTATTGCTAATGTCTCGCCAGGTCTAACTTATAAATTTAATCTTATTGTAAGCGTGCAAGCCATAGAAAAAAATGTAGTGTCTAGGGAGCTTCCTGCTGTCCCAGGTTTGAGGACTCCACTGGGGTCTTGGGATGAATCCCCTGCCATAAGGGAAGGAACATCTTTCTGTCAGCTTTACTCAAATGTGTCTGTCCCCAGGGCCCTCAGCAACCCTGAAATATTTTGTAGCATACATTCATTTTTCATAATTACTGGGAGGGAGCAAGCACATTGACTGCCATTCTTTAACGGCTCACCAAGTTAAGCTGTTCTGAAGACGCTGGTTGCCTGCTTTCTTCTTACTAACTCCTTTCTCACTGGCTTTGAGTGCTTTGTCCCAGAGAACCCGGGACACATCAGTCCCTTCCCTCTGATCATGGTCGCTTTCTCCTCCGTGTTTATGCAACTCGACACTTCCCATCTGTGGTCCCTTTCATTGCGGTTGTGTCCCAGTTTGTTTATGAAGCCACCTTCGCTTTGCTGTCATCTGGTTCCCCGCCACGTCACAGTGTCAGGGCACACGCGCTGAGGACGGGCAGCCTGAGTTCAAAGCCAGTAACAGCTTGCTTCACCACACCAGGCAAGGTCATTACCTCCCGTAGAGTTCAGAACTTCATCCTTAAAGGGGACACACAGACTGCCTCCAACCCATAGTGGTTCGACTTAGGATTTTTTTTTTTTTTTTACCTTTATGGTGATGCAGAAGCAATACACAGTCAGTAGAATCCTTACTTTGCATTTTGAATTTGGATCTTTTCCCAGGCTAGCAAGATGTAAAATATATTCTCTCCCAATACTGAAAAGCAGCAGAGAGCTGCAGCTCACAGCTCCTGATCACATGGAGAAAAAGCCTATACCCTATATGCAGATGTATCTAGGCTGCAACCTGCAGGTCACATGTGTCCCAGGGCAGCTGTGAACGCAATGGAAACATTTGTAGATAACAGTACCATGTTGCCATGTCAGAGTCGGGCAGTAAACTAGGTGGGGAGCAATTTTCCCCCAAGGGAGTATATTCAACATTTTGTTATACAACAGGTTTCATGGTTGGCATTTTTGCCTGAGTATAAGCTAATGTGAGTGTGTTCAAGGCCAGGTACACTGTGGTTATTCAATGGACTAGGTATACAAAATAAACACATTTGGGTCTTAAGGATATTTTCAACTCATGAAAGGCCTATTGAGACATAAGCCCATCATAACTAACTATGATGACACTCATTTAACCAAGAGTTTGAGACCCAGTTGGCCAGCGAATAACCCAATCTGCAGACAAACTCAAATGTGACTCTTGACTGGCTACATATTTTAAAAAACTTTCACAGTACTGGGGCTTGAAGTCAGGACCTCATGCCTACTGGACAAGCATTCTACCACTGAGCTACATCCTCAGCCTTCTTCAAGTCTTGAACTTTTGGCAGCCGGTTGTCTAAGCAGGGAACGTGCTATCTATCCAGTGACCACAGACCCTGCCATCCCTATGGTCCACATCTATCCTGACTCATTGCTGTTACACACTGGCCCCCGTAGGCATTTGAACTTGCAAACCCCACTTATGCACAGGTAGTGATTCTTCCTGCCTTAACTGCTCACTCAGCGATCTACACGGGGTCCCCTTAGCCGGAGGCTGTCTCCTCAACTCAGAATCGCAGACAGAGATTCTGAGACAAATCAAAAGGATCTGGCCTGTGTGAAGCAGCGCCTTCTTGTTAAGTTTTCTTTTAGCAACTCAGCACTGCCAGGGCCCGTGGGGAAAGCATCCGACTTGCTTCAAACAACCACACCAGAGTGAACCCCTGCCTGGCGGTGGCTGTGTGGTTAACCCCAGCACAGCGCACATCAGTCTCCGCTTTATTTATGGACATGACAGATGACAGAGGGGCTGGTTTCCTCCCCTGAGTCTCGTCTGCTCCTCAACCTTAAGTTTCAGAAGAAGTCCCTGATTCAAATGTGGGTGAGAGACGAACAAGGGAGATTAGACTTACATTAGAAAAATCACGCCGTCCATTCCCTGTTCCTGTCCACTCTACAAGAGGCATAGGTAGAATGCTGGACTTACAGAAAGACACAGACAGCAGAAAAGGCATGAGCACCAATGGTGACAGTCAGCATGAGCACAGGCTGCTGGGGGACAGGCAAGCGTGTGCTGATAGCCACAGTGTTTAAGAGCAGGAGAGACTCATTGTCTCTGTCTTTTTAGGAGTTATTTTAGGGCTGGAGAGATGGCTCAGAGGTTAAGAGCACTGGCTGCCTTTCCAGAGGTCCGAGTTCAATCCCCAGCAACCACATGGTGGCTCACAACCATCTGTAATGAGATCTGATGCCCTCTTCTGGCGTGCAGGCATATATGTAGGCAGAACACTGTATATATAATAAGTATTTTTAAAGTTATTTTTTATTTATATGGGGGATATATCTGTGCAGAACCGGAATTACAGGCAGTTGTGAGCTACCATGAGGGTGCTGGGAATTGAACCCCAGTCCTCTGAAAGAGAAACCAGTGATCTTAACTGTTGAGTATCTCTCCAGCCCTTGTGAGGTTTGTCTTGAAATGAAATAGTCTGGGCTTTTTTGCTGTTTTGTTTTGTTTTTTGTTTCCTGAGTTAGTCAGCTTTGTGTCACTCTAACAAAATTCCTGACCCAGGCTACTTAGGAAGCAAAAAGTAGTTTGATATGATTTATCATTCCAAGTTCAGTATGTTTGGGCCTCTGGTGGGGGTATGTGTCAGAGTGTATGCTCATGTCTCAAGCCAGAAAGGAGAGGATTCCACAGATCCAAAGACCTAAAGATTCCAAAGACCTGAAGATCCAGCCTCTTCACTGTCCAGAGCACCTCCCAATGCTGCCCCCTGGGGTGGGGTGGGGCAGGGGTATTACATTGGGACTGTCTGATTCTCAGTAGACTTTCTTCGGCCTTCTGTGGCTCTAAAACAGTCACAATACGTAAAGCCTGTGTTGTGGGCACTAGACAACAGCCAGCTCGGGAGAGAAGAGAAAGCTCATCAGGAGAGAGCCATGTGCCCTCTGGCTCTTGACCCAGCACAAACTTTCTGACCAGAGCAAAAAACGGAAGAGCCCAGCACATCTCACAGAGGGAGCAGAGATGCTAAGTCCGGAAGGCAGAGATTAGGTCTGGGCCTGCAGAAGCACCTCAGATTTGGAGATTTGGGCAGAATAAAAGAGGGAACCTCGTGAAAAGGAGCAGCAGAATTTGGGCTGAGAACTGAAATGCATGACGGACAGTGAATACACAGTAAAGAACAATTCATACTTGAATCAAGTCAAATGGAAACTATGTCACACAACCCTAGCAAGCCTTAGCAGTCTGACAAAAGTGGAATGGAGAGGTCTGCTTTTAAATTTGAGTGTTTGTTTGTTTGTGTGTATGTGTGTGTGTATTTGTGTGTGTTTGTGTGTGTGTGTGTATTTGTGTGTGTGTTTGTGTGTGTGTGTGTGTATACGTGTTTGTGTATGTGTGTTTGTGTGTGTATGTGTGTATGTATGTGTATATGTGTTTGTGTGTGTGTATATATGTGTATGTGTGTTTGTGTGTGTATGTGTGTGTATATATGTGTACGTGTGTGTATGTATGTATGTGTGTGTAT